TGGTGGTGGTGGCGCCGGCGGGGGTGGTGGTGGTGGTGGTGGTGGTGGTGGTGGTCCGGGAGCGCTACTACTGCTCCTGTTGCTGGTGCTGGTGTTGGTTGCTGTTGTTGCTGTGGAGGCAGCTGGCTTTACCAAAGGATTACTTTCCAAGATTCATCAAGAGAAAGTGGTCAAGCAAACACTGATGAGCTGCAGAGGAAGTAGGGGTGGTTCTCAAATGCCACAGTTCATTTCTCCTTCTCGTCATCGCTGTCATTGTGGTCGTCGTCGCTGTTGTGGACGTCGTTGTTGATGATGTTGGTGCTGGTAGTAGTGCCATTCACGCCCGGGAGGATGGGGCCGCTTTCGGTCGCGATCCGCAGGCTCACGGGAGCGGCGGGAAAGTGCAGCGACTTCACCAGCCCGCAGAGCCCCAAAGCCTTCCTGAGAGCGAGATACTTGTCAATTCAGTTTTTGGGTGATTCTTCCTGGTCAAGAGTGCGCCAAAGAAGCCCATTCCGAGTTTTGGTCTTAGAAAGCAAAAGATACATCATTTTTTTTTTGTGCGAGCTTCTGAATTCTTCATCTTTTTTGTGGCACATTCTTTTGTCTGCCTGCGGCAGGCCAGCGGAGAAGATGCTGCAGAACAGGAGCCATCGTGAAGTACCATAGAGCCATACAGTAAATAAGTACGAATTTTATGGTTCAAGATTCCTGATGGAATCATATTAGAGCATACCACAAAGAGACATCGAAATGCTGTTGGTATTCATTTAGATTACTGTAGACGCCCTTTTTTTCCTGACCCTTTGGCAAGATATTTGCGGAGTGAATCGTTATGGTTGCTGTGGCTCTCAACTTAGTCACAGGAGTGATGGGGCTTATAATCGGGGTTATCGGGGATGGTAGGTAGGCTTACTAAGTCAAAAGAGTCTCCAAGTACTCTGTCGTTCCCCCCCCTCCCCGCACTGGAGTTGCAGGGGTGCTTGCGGAGAAGCAGAGTAGAGCATGTCGTGCTTGGTGTGGTAGTTTTAAAGCTCAACCTCGGAGTTTTCAAAAAATAGAGGCCCTTACTAGGAGTCCCAACATCATGTTGGGGTCTATACTAGGACCAGGACCCTACTTCTAGAAACTACCATGTACAATACATCACACAAGTAGCAAGAATTGTCCTTCAGAGCCTAATCGAATGTTCTTTGCGGCAAACTCTCTTTCTTATGTTTCCGTGCTCGGCTTCGAAGTGCGGTCAACATAAATATGACGTAGGGGCCTTAATCACTGTCAATATCATGAACCGAGAGTCCTTGTCTGATTCTAGCCTACGGTAGCACCTCAAGATGATATTGGTAGTTATTCTATCCTTGGATTTTGATCTCATTTTGCATCCCTCATAAGTCCTGCCTTGTGCTTGTCTGCTTGAGGCGATCCTGGTCCAGGATCTCCAGCCGCTTCCAGAAAACCATACAGTAATGTTCAGAGATCCTTAGACTCCAAGCCACTTTAGCCCCAATCCCAAAGTCCTCACCCCACAGGCCCTTCAAGGAAGACCATGATTTGAGACATAGACAAGGCCTGCAGCGCATATGCCACCCCTGAGCATTAAGGTTGACACCCCAGGCCCCTAGCTCTAGCCCCACATCAATCCCAAGCAGGACTGATGCCAGCCAGGAAGAATCGAGCTCTGAAGCATGCCAAGGGCGGCCTTGATAGCACCAATGCAAATCGACATGCCATAAGAGCGGTAGTATGTCTTCAGGGGAAGCCCCGCCATCTTGGGCACCACGCTCAAGCCTCTAACCGTAGACACCTACACTCCCCAGTCGCCGCAGGAGTACCAGCATCTGCTGGAGCGGGGTCTGCCGCAGCACTCCGATGCCATGATGCAGCTTCAGGAAGATGCCCGGCTCTCGTTGCCCAGGAAATGAAATCATTGCGTTATGGAAGATATTATTGTTCTCCTGGTGCCTCGTATCCTCTGATTTTCGGCCTCTTCCTTCCCCTCCGGCTGCTCGGGCCTGCAGTGTTTTGCCATCATTCGTCATGTTGCGGACCCTGGCCTTCTTGAGGCGGTCCTGTTAGCCGGCTGGGAGACCAGCACCCCGCCGCTGCCCGAAGCGTCCGGGGGCCCGGAAGTCTACCAAAGTCATAGAATCAGTAGTGTTAAGGCATAAGAAAGGTTGGTTGGACCATCTTTCCAAAGCTTCTGAAAGTCATTGGGATTGTATGGTTGAGGCTAGGCAGGGATATCACTTCAGCAGCACACGTGCTCCGCGTCAGACCAGCATATGATTACCTCAGGCGGCGGCATCAGTCTTCGAAATGAGTAGCTTCGGCCCACGGTTCAGTCACATGGTCTGCGTAAGATTTCAAGTCTTCACGGATATGTGGCCCGAGGATGGAGCTCCACCTGAAGCGGATCAAGCACGCCAAGAATGTGGCCAGGGGAGAGGGGCCCAGGTTTGAAGACAGTGTCCGTTTATCAGGGGTAGAGTTGAAGGCTTGGGGTTCAGAGCTTCGGGTTTAGAAGTTGCCCTAGGCGTGTTGGGGATGATGAGAGTTCGCGGAGTGAGAACGGGTTCCCAACGCAGCTGTCATCGTCCTTGGGCCGACACAGCAGTTGAGCCTTTTGATTGCTGCCTATCGCATGCTGCGGGAAGTGCTCTAGCCTCTGAACTGGGCACTTACAGTAGCTTCAGTTTCTTCCAAGGATTCCGATCTGCTTGGCTTCCCAAGCTCTGACCGTTGCAGTTGCAAACACGTGAACACACGTCCATGGCCTTTGCTGAGATGAGGGTCGTATTCATTCCGCTGGTTTGCAGGTGGTCACAGCCCTGCTGGCCATCGAGGACAGCGGCATCACCTACTGCGAGAGCTTGCTTGTGCCGCCAAGTCTTCTAACGATTGGGCACAAGAATGTCCGTACTTGCCTGTGAATTGCGGCCAGGCATCATTAGATTCCACGGTTTGCATACCACGTATGTCGAAAGCATTTTGGGACTTTCGGAGTGTTTGTCGAAAGAGTCATCAAGATGACGCATGTTTTTGCTGAGGGCGTTCATGGTCCAACAACCGCGATTGCCACGCGTAAAATCATTCCAGCAGCAAAAACAGCAAGAGGGGGAGGAGGAAGTGTGTGGTAGACTGGGTTGCTGTTAAGGAACTTAAATTAAGTAAACATAATGGGTATATATACTAATAATGGGGTTTCCCCAATATAGTAACTTAATTTAAGTTCCTTAACAGCAACCCAGTAGAGCTTCAGGTGTTTCTTTGAGGGCTCTCCATGAAAGGTTCTCGGACCAGCCTCCAAAAACCACCCCCCCACCAATCAGGAGGATCAATACACCCGCAGCAGTAGCCTATAACTCCCAACCCGGATCTTACAGGGTTCTCTGATTGTGGTGGTTCTTGGGAGTTCCTATCAGAAGGGTGATAGTATATCAGGATTGATATTGGGGCCCCCTATAAAAGGGATCTCCCAAAACGCAGAGCCAAAACCTGCGAGGTCAAGTTAACACACCCTAAGCATGCAAAATGCCGGGCAAACTATCAGGAGCCTCACTCGGCCTCACCTTGAATGGAGGTTTACATGCAAAAGCAGTCCGAAATTGGCTTTCTGCACGCTCTAAACTTAGCCTAACCATGGCCAGAAAATCTGTCTGGCAGGTACTTGCTTTCTTCCTCCTTTTGCCTCAGGGCTACAAGGAGGCCTGGATCTCATGGTCCATGATGGTCGACTTTCCTTGTCACATGGTTTTTTTTCCGCCAAAAGGCTTATACAAATCACTGTCCTTTTCACAGAGTGAGTGGCTGAGGGAGGATAGGTTTCAACAGGTGTCGAGTTTAGGGATTTTTGGATTTAGGCCAGGGTCTCCAAGAACAGGCTGAAGATTTGGCGTCCGATCTGAATTGGTGGTCGGTGTGAGTGGCAAGAAGCGCATGACAAGTGTCAACCCTCGCCAAGGGGCATCACCCCATTTTCCCTCATGTCGTTGCAGAGTTTCACTTAGTATTGAAGCCAGCCAGTCAGTCAGATTAGGGCGAATAGGGGTCCCTACATTGAACCCTGACGCTGCCCTGCCTAAACAACATGAAACCCCGAAAGGGGCCTCGATAAGACGCTGAACCTCTTCAAAAGAGGCCTGCATGGGTTCCATGTTTGTCCGAGGGAGGTCAAGCTCTCCGGCCCAAGAATCGCCCGTGGCCATGTAACAAGACTTGCAGTTGCGAGTAGGGATCTCTCTAGTAGCCCCTATACCATCCCCAACCAATAAACGTTTCCATCTCCTTTCCGTTCCTTCATTCCTTACTAACCTGCAAGAAGAAGGTGGCATCCTCCAGCTTCACCGGGGAGGGCCTCACCCATCCCTCCGAGGCCTCCGTGTTCTGGTCGGGTGCCCCAGGCATATCATATCAGGCGGTCTGGTCTGTTATGAGGCATGCAGTGCGGGGTTCACAGTGGCGTAGTAGAGTTTTAAATCGGGTGAAGGCTGTATGGTTTGGATCTTCTTTGTCTTTTCCAAAGCGGTCATGATTCTAACAATCTTTCCCTGGTTCCGCTGCGGCTGCTGTCCAAACTACTGTGCTGCGGTCAATCTGAATACACTTATGACGTAGCGGTTATCCTCACCGTTGATATTGCAATCACAATTGCCGCGGTGATTATCATGCGCCTGATGCTGATGGTAATCGCTTGTCAGCTTGTTGTCTGTGACTATGGACATGCTATGACGGATCGGCTGTCACGTGCTCTATCATGGCCACCGGTCTTCATTGCTAGTTTCGCGCTTGTAATACACAAATTTGTCATGACGGTGCAGTTGCTATTGCTGTAAGGGACAGGGACAGGGGCGGTGGCAGGTTCCTTGCAGGGAATGCATTCAGAAGTTGGTACTGAAGTTTGCTGCATCTTACTTGCTCCAGGAACCTGTGAGCAACCTGACAGACACCTCTTGACACTTGACCTTAAGAACCTAAAACAAGACACTTACATGGCTAAGGTTTGGCAAGTCTTGGGGCTCTGGACCCTAGACATTAAGCTCACCAGCATATACTACGTGCCAACGGCTTGCAGAAGCAAAGGTCCTGTGTTATGGGTGCCACACAAAAAGTGCAGGACCCGTGGCTGTCCCGTAAGGGAACCCATGAGTCTGAAGCACCCGCATAAAGACCCTCAGTGGGGCTGCTCCCTTCATCCTCGTCAGGCTGCTATACACTCTCGTCTGCACTCGTACGAACGGGATGTACCGCGAGTACTACGGGCCACAATCTCAGGTTTACCTGCAAGCATAGGGCTTGCAGGATTCCTTTTTTTTTTTTTGTGTGAGGGCTTTTCTTCTTGGTGGCCTTTGGAGTTTGGGGGCTTCAAGCTCAGTGGCTGTCCGTTTTTTGAAGTAAGGCAACCGTCCCTTGAGATGGCAATAGCGATTTTTGCGTATCCTTGCTCTTTCTGAGAGCAAGATGTGAAAGAGTGGAGCAAGGCATCCAATGTCCTGACCGTACTCTGCACCTTGGAGCTTGATGTAGTATGTGTTGGCAGAGTGACCGCAGACTCCCATCTATAACTTGCCGAACCAGTCTGGGAGGAAACGGATTAGCAGGGGCATTTGGCGTGTACATCATCAGCAGGGATTCTGTTCCTTGAGTACACCTAAGAGCAAAGACTTCTTGGAAGCCGTCAAATCTTAACATTCACCCTCAGTTTATGTTCTGAAGTGTACTCTTAAGACCTGTGCCAGAGATTGGCATACAAGTGTAAAATGACTGAGAATGTCAGCAGGACTTCCCACCGCCGCCCCCGCCGCTGACGACAACAACAACAACCACAGTGACCGTGGCGGCAGCAGCAGCGGCAGCAAACAACGAAAAGCCAGCAGCAAACAGCAAATAATGCAAACAGCAAACGAGAATGGTCTTGCCTTAAGCTCAAAAGCCACAACCCCCAAAGCCCAAAACCCCAACCCTAAAACCTAAACCCTCAGCCACGATTCCCCAAACCCTAAACCCTGAGCGCCAATTCCTAAACCGTCCTAAGTCCTAAACCCTACGACCCAAGACTACGCCCTTTATCCTAAATCCTAGGCCCTCAGCCTCAATTTTACCCCTAGGCCCTCCACCCTAAATTTTAATCTAGATCCCAAATCCTAAGCCCCTGAACCCGTGGCCCAGGACGCCGTTGCCAGAGGCGGATGGTGGACAGGGCCTGGTGGCGGGCGGTGGGGCCATGCAGGACAATCGCTTTGGGGTTTGGGCTTTAGAGGTTTTGGCAGATGCCTTTTGAACTTTCGTGGGCTCTGGGATATGAGGGAACTCGGGAGGTCTTGGGATCCCCGACACCATCATTCGGCAGTGTAAGCTTGAAACGCCTGAAGGACGTGCACCTGCTGGAGTGTGCCGTGGGTTACTATGACAAGGAGCTCTACCAGTGCAGCAGCCTTGGGAGGGTTGAAAGAGGTCAGAGGTAGACGTTGACAATGTTGTGTAAGAATGACATAGGCCTGGAGAAAAGACCGGGCCATGCCCCCTACTGCAACGTTGAGGCGGCAGCAACGTGAAGGGAAAGGAGACATCACTTCTTTCGCGATTGCTGGCATGATGTGTCAATGCACATACAGGGGGACCACAACTATGTCAGGCATTCTGCAAAGAAGCAGCAAAGCCCTTTGGCCATTAACGTTTGCTAGCCCTGCGCCGAACTCGGTGTTTTTAACCTTCAAACTCCTTAACTGTCAGGTAATTTCATGTTGGATAGCGTTCTGCATCTACAGCAATCGTCGACTAGCAGTTTCCAAGAAATCCCTCAATAAAGTTCGGAAATGTGATTATTCAAGACCTATACTGAATAGTGACCCAGAAATGAAGACATCGGAATCTTAAGCCCCATCCGCCAATTTCCAGATCCTTGGACCTCGACCCGTCGTCTTTCATGCCACTAGACGCCTGAACCTCCAGGCATGTCCGCCATGGGCCTGGATTTGTCGACGATCTTCTACGGCGCCTTCATGAGGTGGCTGGGTGGCACCACGAGAGCTGCAGTCAAAACTCATCCAAAGTTGGTTTATTGAGAAGGGGCTCGTGGTGAGTCCTAGCATGGGTGATGGCGTCCAGAAGGGTGGCTATGGAAGCAGCTGGCCGAACAGTGGTTTTGCTTCTGGCCCTTCATCCAAGAGAGACAGTTAGAGGGAAGGACAATGGCTTCATGAAAGTCCCTTAGGCAGGATGTTGGAGCTACAAGTTTTTTTGTTTGTGTATATTCCGCATGGCAACTTGCTGAGTCGAAGCAGATCAGGATAGGCTTCATCCTGTTCCGCAAGTTTGACCCTGACACCCAAACCTCAAACCCTGAGCCCCAGGTGGTATGCGACCTTCATGCCATCAGCCAGCGTCTTCAGGCGCTGAGTCAAATTTGCGACTGATTCAGATGACAGCTGTGAAAATGCGCTGGCAGTAATTGCTGTATACCTCAACCTGAGGACTTATGGTATCGTAGTATGCTGTGGGTCATGCAGGGTTTGTGCATTAAGAGGATGGCTGCTACAGGCATGTTTCTTCCATTTGTCTTCATGAGCTCTTGTATGTTTGGGGTTTAGAGCTTTGCGTTTCCAGTTTAGGATCTAGGGTTGAGGGTTTGCGTAACGGCAGCATTTGGGAGGCCTTCCTGGAGGTCTTAGGGATTCCTTACTATGGCCCTCAAAGATTCCTGAGCTGAGTCTGTGGATTTACCATGAATACCTTCAAGGTGAGCAAGTATATCACATGAGAAGGTAGAGATATTTTCTGCGGGTGCTACAGGATCCTAGTGAACAAGTGTGAGGAGTGATCCTGGCGCAAAGGTCAGGAATTCAGAAACACCGTACTTCCGTAGAGTCGAGGTAAGAATACCGACGCCAATGAAGAGGGGTGCGACTAGGGAAGCCAATGAATGGGCTGGCAAAGGTTTGTCATCGGCGGTTTCATACACATTCTGAGCCACGTAGACACTGAATCTGTAGCAGGCTGAGAATTGGCTACACCTTGTGTGATCATTTCCCCATGATCGATCTCCTTTTGCGCTTTGCTCTCTTAAGGTAGTGTTGCTTGCAAATTGTTCAAGAACAAAAAAGAGGAGTCAATCACAAAAGCCAACGTGCGGATCAGACATAGGACAGTGGGAAGACCAGTTCCAGACTATCAGAAAACTGTTGCGAGCTAAGCAGGCCCAACAAACCGTCCAATCGGAAACCTACTGCGCCCTTTTGAAAATGTAAACTTTGCCAGAACTGTGCGAACCGTCGATGTTGCAGAAATGGGTTCGATGCGGAACCTCTCAAAACCCCGCCAAGCAGCCCTCGACCCACGGACCCACATGAAGAATTCTTGAATCTTGTTAACCCTTACAACCAACGCCACTCTGACAAACCTATAAGTCTATAAGCCGTTTTGCTTATAAAACGTCCTTGATCCTTTAGACCCTGCCCCAAAACATACCCTATGTAACGCCAGTTTCCCTTCCATTTTCATCCTTAACCCTGCAATTGTAACCCGTTCTTCATACCCTATATAATCCCTATATACCCTTATGCAAGCCCTATGACCCCTTTTCAGGACCATAAGTCCTGCAGGCTCTGGGATGCTCTGCTGCTTCAGTCGTCGAATCCCAAAGCCCAGCCGCACGCCTATGCCTCGGGCAGCGGCGGTGGGGGTCGTCTGCTGGGGATACATAGGGATCACATAAGGATATACGGGGATATATGGGGATATATACGGAGTATGGAGGTATAGGTGAAGGGAGAGGAAAATACAATGGAAGCTACTATGCTGTTTAAGGGTTTAGATGTGAGGGCCCGACTAAGAAGATTTCTGGAAAATCACATGGAACAGAAGAAGGACAATGGAACGGGAACTAGGGGCTGCATGGCGGTTAGTTATACAGGGTTGTTTAGTGACGCAGGGTTGTTGAGGAACTTAGTTTAAAGTATCATGATAGAGAAGCAATTTTGTTAACATTCTCTTGTTATGGAACATGTAACGAAGGTCCATGTTGACTCAACCTTAAGAGGAATGGGCATATCGTTCAGTTTAGGGCTCGAGGTAAGCTCGCCTTGCTCGGTATCTAGAGAAGTCGTCATGCCCGAATGTTGGCAATATTTCTTGGTGAGCTGTTTCCTCGTAGAGCCCGCCTGAATTTTGTAAGATCCACTCCCCCATGCCTCCTCAAGTATCAAGACAAATGTTTTTGAGGGCTTGGAATGGTTGCCTGACAAGCTCATTGATTCACAATATTTTCAGCAACAATTCACAGATTTCCGTGGATGGGCTTTGTCTCGGCCCAGCTTCGGGGCTTGGAGGACCCAATCCCAAAACCAATTCTGAACGCTTGACCTATCAAGCCACACCTAAACTTTACGTAAGCCAAGCCAGACCGTGGGCTTTTGGAAGTAAGGTTTCCCTTTTGTAGGTCCGCCCCTCCCATCATCCCTATTGGAAGC